ACTACTAGATTAATTTAACAAATAACTTAAGAGTCTGCTTCATTTAAATAACCATACAATGTTAAATTGGCATCTATAGTTGTGTATACCATATTTCAGAATTTTACTTAATAAGCCTTTCACAGTTCATATCTAGTTGTTTTTATCTAGAAGTCCTGTCATCATTTTGAGAAGCCTGCACATAATAGAAGGAAGCCCTTGGAACAGTGCTCAGTCATAGACTACTTACCTAGTCCCCTGTGCTGCTTCCCTCTGCCTACTGCTGCAGACTCTTGGCCCTAATACACTTCTGCTTCCTTGAAGGTGACACCTTTTCTTACTTCATCTGCCTACAATGCTGTTTTGCATTCTTCCTACCCCCATCAGTAATATTATTTATTCTGTGCTCCTTAGGGTTTTCATACACATCTCTACTAAAACAATTATCTTATCATAATGTGTGTTTTACCTGTATTTAAGGGAAGGGATTCTTTATACTATTTATTTATGGATGGACATTGCATACATATGATTCAAAATTCAAAGACCATAAAAGGGTTACAATGAAAAGATCTTCCATCCATCACTATTCCCAGGTTATCCAGCTTCCTTTCCTCAGAGGCAACCACTGTTAGCAGTTTATTTATTAATAGTATTTTTTCAGAAATATCTCACATTTATACACACACACACTCTTCTACTGCACATTATCTTGTACCTTGCTTTTTTGCACTTGACAAGAAATTTTCGAGATCATTACATATCAGTACCTGGAGAGGCCATATAGTATACAGTCATTATAAATATGGATTCCGAAGCTACACTGTGGTTTTAAATCAAGTTTTCACTACTTTTTGGCTGTTGTCAACCTAAATTGCAAACAGAGAGAGGCTCTCTACAATAAAATTTATCCGAGAATAAAGCATTGCAATGGGAATACACATGCCATAGTAAACTACGTGTGTATTCAGGAAGGTAAAGGAAGGCAAAGACTTTTAAAGGAAAAAAATGAGAAGGATTATGTAATTGTTTTGAAATAATAACCCTTGGCTACAAAGATCAATAATAAGGGTGATTTCAGTCTGAGGTTGGATAGGCAGTTATAGGGCAGATGTCCTTATAGAAGTATTTTTTTGTGTAAGGTTGTGGGTTTTGCAGTCTTTTGTGATAATTTTTGTTATCAGGCATATAAGCATGAGAACTCTCTCTTCATAGCCTTCCCAGCAATATTTGTCAGAGTTTTCTAAACATTCAGGACTCCCTTTTGATTTTGACAACTTCGACAGTGTGTAATTTCAGATACTCCACCTCTCTGAACACCCATTTTATGATCTGTAAAATAAATATAATATTAATAATAGTAACTTCTCATAAAGTTGTTATGAAAATTAAATGATTTAATGTATATAGAGGACTTTTTAGACATTATCTGGCACATGGTAAGCAATAAATAATTATTATGAAAAAGCCTTCTGTCTTGGTTTTACTACCAGGTAGGATGATGTACTGTAATTTATTGCTGATCATTTGCATTTCTTCCAGTCTCGTACTACAAATTGTGCTGCTGAAAAACTGTGTACATATTATTTTGCATCTTTTCAAAAATAGTAAATCCCCGGTGGTGGAATTTCTGGGTGTAAAGATATATGCATTTTTAATTTTGACAGATATTACCAAATTTGTCTTCATGAAAGTACTACCAGTTTGCATGGTCATCAGCAATGACTGAGAATTAAGGTTTGGGAGGCTTATTCAGGATTTTCCATTCCTTTCAGAGAATACAATAATTGGCCTGTAGTGAACAGAATATGCTTAATGAACTGTTAGTTAACTGGATGGTAAAGAGTTCAGGAAATACAGTTGTGTTTTGTTCACAGTGAGAAACACATTTACACATCTGCCATGGCATCTTGTTTGCTACTAACGTCATTAAATATTAGAAGAAGGCAAAGTGTTAAGTTTTACTGATCACTTTTAACTGGTCTATCACAGTTTTTTTTAAATTATTATTTATTTATTATTCCAGGGTTTTGTGAGGATACAAACATTGTAGTTACACTTTATGTCTTTGCCTCGCCCAAAGGCATGCCCTTCCCTCCCTTTAGTGCTCCCCGTGTCCTTTAGTTGTAGATTTGCCCCCCCATCCCCCTAATCCTTAGAGAGAATTTCTGCCATGTGATCAACCTAGTGTTGATCAGTTAGTACCAATTTGATGGTGAGTACAAATGGATCCTGTTCTTCTGCTCTTGTGGTGCCCCACTTTGGATAATGGGCTTAAGTTTAATCAGGAAAGTATAAGAGGTGCTAGATCACTGTCATTTCTTATGATTGAGTAATATTCCATTGTAAACATATACCAAATTTTGATAATCCACTCATGGATTGACGGGCACTTGGGTTGTTTCCACATTCTTGCAATAGTGAATTGTGCTGCCATAAACATTCGGGTGCAGATGTCTTTATCGTAGAATGTTTTGTGCTCTTTTGGGTAGATGTCTAATAGTGCTATTGCTGGATCGAATGGTATTTCTATTTTTAGCTCTCTGAGGTATCTCCAAATTCTTTTCCACAGAGGTTGCACTAATTTGCAGTCCCACCAGCAGTGTAAAAGTGTTCCTGTCTCTCCACATCCTCGCCAGCATTTGTTGTTTTGTGTTTTTTTGATAGAGGCCAATCTCACCCGAGTTAGGTGATACCTCATTGTGGTTTTGATTTGCATTTCTCTAATGATTAGAGATGTTGAGCATTTTTTTATATGTTTGCTGGTCATTATTCTGTCTTCTTTTGAAAAGTTTCTGTTCATTTCCCTTGCCCATTTGTTGATGGGGTTGTTTGATTTTTTCTTGTTGATTTTTTTGAGTTCTAGATAGATTCTGGTTATCAGCCCTTTATCAGATGTGTAGAGAGCAAATATTTTTTCCCATTCTGTGGGCTGTCTATTCACTCTAATGATAGTTTCCTTGGCAGTAAAGAAGCTTTTTAATTTGATTAGATCCCACTTATTTATTTTTGTTGCTGCGGCGATTGCTTTGGGGGTCTTCTTCAAGAATTCCTTGCCTAGGCTGATGTCTGAAAGGGTCTTCCCAACATCTTCATTTAGAATTCTTAAGGTTTCCTGCCTTAGGTTTAAGTCTGTTAGCCATCTTGAATTGATTTTTGTGAGAGGTGAGAGGTGGGGGTCTAGTTTCAGTCTTCTGCATGTAGCTATCCAGTTCTCCCAGCACCATTTATTGAAAAGAGATTCTTTTCCCCAGTGTATGTTTTTGTCAGCTTTGTCAAAGATTAGATTACCATATGCAGATGGTTTCATCTCTGGATTCTCAGTCCTGTTCCAGAGGTCAATGTCTCTATTCTTGTATCACAGTTTTTTTTTTTTTTTCAGAATTTGGAAAAAGTATTTACAAAATATTACTCGTTTTGTTAATGCCTTAATACAACAGGATGGCAGAAAACCATTAATAGGAATTGGGCCAGAGCCCTGTTGATTTACTGGCTTTCTCAAAGAAAAAGTCTTTACTATTGCAATAATACATCTTCACATACATCATCTCATGTGATTCTGGTACACATACAAAGATAGAGAAGAAAGGGAAAAAAAATTGAGTGACTAATAGCTGCTAATCTCTCAGAACCGCCAGCATCACCTTTATCCAAGACAGCCTTGGCGCCAGACGAGCAGCCTGAACTGGCATCTCCTCCTTCACCTTGGTTAGTAACAGAAAAAAAGGGCGGAACTATAAAGAGAAGGCTTGCCGGACCGCATGTCTCTAGTTTTCAATTTGGTCCGAAGAATTTAAGTAAAGGCCAGCCTTACACTTTCCACGCCGTTTTTTGATTTTTTTGTCCATTCTTAACGTTGTCTAGTGGCAGGAAGAGGGGAAGGGTTGGGGAGCTAAGCGTCACCTCAAGGTCTTGCACGATACTATCCAGAGTATCACCAAACCCGTCATCCAGCTACTGGCTCGGCGTGGTAGGGGCAATCGTATCTTCGGCCTTATCTAGGAAACTCGCGGGGGCGTTCACGGTGTTTTTGGAGGATGTGATCCGCAACGCTTTTACTTGCACCGAGCTTATGGAATATTTTCATTTGTATTGGTACTTTTCAGGGCCACCCACGTTTTTGGAATAACTGGATAACGTTAGTCTCTGCGTTTGTGTGCTACACAAGACAGTAAGTGAGCAAGCATAATGGACTCATGTGGCTAGAGGAAACCCAGTGAGCTCAAATTTTTGCCTATGACCCCTCACCCCTCACAGCTGACGAAGCATACCAGCTCTTTCTCAGGTAGTTAAGTGGCTCTGAAAAGAGCCTTTGGGTTTGACAATGCCTTCACGAGAAATTTACTTGGAGCTGGTGTACTTGGTAACCGCCTTGGTACCCTCAGACACGGCGTGCTTGGCCAGCTCTCCGGGCAGTAGCAAGCGCACCGCCGTCTGGATCTCCCTGGAGGTGATGGTCGAGCGCTTGTTGTAATGCGCCAGACGAGAAGCCTCGCCGGCGATGCGCTCGAAGATGTCGTTGACGAAGGAATTCATGATTCCCATGGCTTTGGAGGAGATGCCGGTGTCAGGATGAACCTGCTTAAGCACCTTGTACACATACACGGAGTAGCTCTCCTTGCGGCTGCGCTTGCGCTTCTTGCCATCCTTCTTCTGGACCTTAGTCACTGCTTTCTTAGATCCCTTCTTCGGGGCTGGAGCGGACTTCGCTGGCTCAGGCATGACGAAAGAAAACCAGCAAGCAGGAGACAGAGACAAGCGACTACCCTCTATTTATAATGGTTTAGGCAAACGAAGTGGGGTGGAGGTCTATGGCGATTGGTGGTTATCCGTCCATGCGTCAGATGCCAGTTTTGCCCAATCAAAGTACGTATCCTGCATAATCCCGTTCCATTGGTCTAAATGAAAATCAAATGTCAGCCAATCACACAGCTCCCTTTTCGCGCCCAGCAGAGGCTATAAAATCTGCGTTTTTACATTTTCTTTTCGGTCTCTACTGGCAACACTCACAGGTGTTTCGGTATGTCTGGCCGTGGGAAACAGGGAGGTAAAGCTCGCGCCAAGGCGAAAACTCGCTCTTCCCGGGCCGGCCTTCAGTTCCCTGTAGGCCGTGTCCACCGCCTTCTCCGCAAGGGCAACTATGCCGAGCGGGTCGGAGCCGGCGCGCCGGTGTATCTAGCTGCGGTGCTGGAGTATCTAACCGCCGAGATCCTGGAGCTGGCGGGCAACGCGGCCCGGGACAACAAGAAGACTCGTATCATCCCTCGCCACCTGCAGCTGGCCATCCGCAACGACGAGGAGCTCAACAAGCTGCTGGGCAAAGTCACCATCGCGCAGGGCGGAGTCCTGCCCAACATCCAGGCCGTGCTGCTGCCAAAGAAAACTGAAAGCCACCACAAGGCCAAGGGCAAGTAGAAATCTGGGTTACTTTGCAGCGATTTGAACGACTCAACAGAATCAAAGGCTCTTTTCAGAGCCACTACAGTTTCCTGGGAAGAGCTGAGCACTCTCTACGTAAACGCTTAACAGCTAATGAGACTAGTCTCCGATAGCCGTTTAAGTGGAAGCAATCTTGTTAGTTTTCCTTTAACCTGCGCAATCTTTAAGTTTAAGGGAAAGTGGACTCATGTTTGCAAAAATTAATGAAATCCGATCGCTGTTTTCGTCGAGTGAGCTTTATCAAAGTACTACATGGAGTTATATTTTAATGGTTAATTATCAGGATTTACCACCTCTCCCTCCAACAGTCTTGAGCCTCTTAAAAACCAAACTTATAATGATGAGCGCTTGTTTTAGGGTCAAATGTAGCAATCTTTAAGATATACTTATTTTCTGGGTCTTAGCAAATAAAAACATCCCGAGGATGCAGAGTTTAGCCCAAACCTCTATCCTAGGCCGCTGGCTATTTTCTGGATCCCTTATTTCCGAGAAAACCTAGTCCACCGCCAGGATAATTGAATCAGTTTCGAATTGGTCATAGTCAATTAATTGGGTTAATTGAAACAGTTAATTGAGTTATTTTTGGTGCCAGGTAATTTTCTTATTTTATTTGGAGCGTTTTCAATAAATTTACTGAAAATTGAAGAGTTATTGAAGAGTTTTCTGAGATTTCTTACCACCATTCAAGTTGATTTATTAATATAAAATAAAGTTGAGATGATCATTAATTCCTTTGAGCATGCAGAATTCTACTTTAAAAATATATTAGACTTCATCTTTTTAATCTAATTTAAATCAGATCTTGATGCACTTATGGAATAAATTCTTTAAGAGCAAAGAAATTACATTTCCAGAATATTAGAAAAATAAATTGTGCTGCAATGGAATTATTTTTATATTATATAAAGGTGAAAAGTTCGTGTAAGGGTATGTTTATGAAATTATTAGGCTTTGAATTCCTCACATGCAAATCAGATTTTCTTGGTGAAAAATAAAAAAAATTCTTAAGCGTTCGAAGGACAGAAAATTGAGAGGAGGGAATATAGGGCTGTGCTGTCCAGTGTGGTAGCCACTAGCCAACTGCGGCTAGTGATCATTGGAATTTGGTAGTCTGAAATAACAGGTACTGTACGTATAAAATACATGCTGGATTTAAAAGTGTCAAAAATGTAAAATATCTAACAATTTTTTATTGATTACATATTGAAATATATTGGATTTATTAAACAAATTATTAAAACTAATTTTTCCTGGTTTTACTTTGTTCTAACGTGGCACCTAGAAATATTTAAATTATTATGTCGCTCAAATTTATTTCCACTTGAAATGGCTAGTACATAGAGAACAACTGTACAGAGAATAGAAAAAAACAATATGGAGGCCATTGACAATTTAGGATATCAGAGGACTTGGAGAACAAAAAATATGTATATACGTATTTTGAATCCTTGACCAATCCAATTACCGTTGGGGCTTGCCTAGTTTTATCCAATCAGCTTCAGGTTCTCACTATAAATATGCGGCCAGGCTTTTCTCGTCGCTTGAATCCAGCTATTAAACCATGGCTCGCACGAAGCAGACAGCTCGCAAGTCCACCGGCGGTAAGGCGCCGCGTAAGCAGCTGGCCACCAAGGCGGCGCGCAAGAGCGCCCCGGCCACCGGCGGCGTGAAGAAGCCCCACCGCTATCGTCCCGGAACCGTGGCTCTCCGTGAGATCCGCCGCTACCAGAAGTCTACAGAGCTGCTGATCCGAAAGCTGCCGTTTCAGCGCCTGGTGCGTGAGATCGCGCAGGACTTCAAAACAGATCTGCGCTTCCAGAGTTCGGCGGTGATGGCGCTGCAGGAGGCGTGTGAGGCTTACTTGGTGGGGCTCTTCGAGGACACCAACCTGTGCGCTATCCATGCCAAGCGTGTCACTATCATGCCTAAAGACATCCAGCTTGCGCGTCGTATCCGTGGTGAAAGGGCCTGAGTCTCAAGGACGCCCCAGCTGTATCCTCAAAGGCTCTTTTCAGAGCCACCCACATGCGTGCTTGAAAAGATCTGTTTCTCTGCGTAAAATCCTGGTACTTGTTTTGTCTGTGGCAGATGGGTCCCATCATCTAGACATTTTGCAATCTTAAACGTCTGAAATTCATCCTACCGCTGTTAAAATGTAACCTACTTCCCAGCACGTATTACCCACCTCACCCCACCGGCCACCTATGCTTCAGTTTTGAAAGCATGGTACCTCAACCTATTTTTCTGCAAACTTGTAGTGTGTATACTTAGGAAATCATACCTTAAGGTCATATTAAGGTATTGTTAGAAAAATTAAGGTTAATACAGTTTGTGTTGCCTAAAGTGAAAGTATTTTTTTCCACATTTCTTCCTGAGCTGTTTTGTTTCTAGGACTGAATTCAGTATTTGAAGCTGGTATCTGGATCTGCTAAAGTTTCTTCAGTGTGGTTGATGACATGGTTTGAGGGTCAAGAATCATTTGCAGGGAGAGCCAGCCAGCTGATTCCCTTTGAAGCCTCTAGTAAAAATTTGTGTGTGTGTGTGTGTGTGTGTATGTGTGACAGAGAGAGAGAGAGGGAGAGAGAGAGAGAGAGAGAGAGAGAGAGAGAGAGAAGAGATTTACTGTTGAATTTTGAGAACAGGATAAAACACCTCTCTTGGGTCTTTGCTTAAATGTTACCTTCTCATGGCCTTGTCTGACTATATAAATTAAAACTATAATCCCCACTAATTTGTTCACCCTACAATTTATTAGCATAAGTTGTACCATACATTTTGCTTATTTATTTTTGTCTTGCCTCTTCTAAGATGCATGTTCATGAAAGGGGGAACTTTTGTTTACTCATGTGTCCCCAGTAATGTAGCAGCTCTCAATCAATATTTGTTGGATAATGATGCATGAGTGAATAATACTAAAACAACCATGTGGAAAATCACAGATGAAAGTAAAGCATTAACCTGCTAGTTGTGCTAAAAATCATGACAGGCCATTCTTGTGTTCAGAATTCTAGCCATCCATAACTTTCTATGATCTCTCTTCCATTCTTATAAGCATTCAAGACTTTCCCTGGCAAATTGATTTGTGTATGTGTTATCTTTGTCCCTCCTCAACTGATGTCAGCTTGTGAGATGTGAATGGAAAGATCATAGTATTTTTACATCATGTTTTAAAAAGCAGATTGAATTCTCTATCTTGTTTCACTTCTTATTTATGTCTGCTACTTAGTTATCAGAATTGGTTACATTCTTAATACATTGTTTTAAAATTAGATAACAAGATCACTACTCTGCTGAAGCTCATTACTTTCCTGTGAGTGGGTTCATGGGAAGTAGGACTCATGATTTCTACATATGGAATTTAGAACGATTAATGATTTATTAGTTTGATTTAGGATGACTAATACTTTACAAAATTAAAATAATGTTCTAATACTTTCTATTGGAATCAAAACCTTAAGCAAAACAAAATACCGAGTGTCCCCCTTTCAGGAATTAGCTTTCCTCTGCAAAGAAAAATTCACTAATTTGGAGGAAAGCAATGCCCCCAGGACTCTTGGGGGATCCTGCTAATCCAATCTAAAACCAACTGCTTTAACATATTGGGTTTTTTGTTTGTTTGTTTTGGTTTGTTTTGAGACAAGTTCTCACTGTGTTGCCCAGGCTCTGGAGCACAGTGGTGTGATCATAGCTCACTCCATCCTCCAACTCCTAGGGTCAAGCAGTTCTTCTGCCTCAGTCTCCTGAGTAGCTAGGACTACAGGCATGCGCCACCATAACCAGCTAATTTGTGTGTGTGTGTGTGTGTGTGTGTGTGTGTAGAGACAGGACCTTGCTCTGTTGCCTAGGTTGGCAGATTGATATTCTTGGGTGTGCATGCAGTGAATTTTTTCTTTCTGGTCTGGGAAACTTAAAGCTCTTAATAAATCAGGAAGGGCCCACACAGAGGTTGCCTGGTCTGTACTGGTCTAATCCTCTTGCTGGTTAGATAGGGCATCCTTTTCTGGAGACATGCAGCCAATATACTTCTCCCAGTTAGCTTTTCAGTCCTCATTACAAAAAGAGCTATTTGTTCATGGGCAGTGAGTAGTTCTAGTTATATGGACACGGAAATTCTATGTCTCACAAAACATTCCATGTGCTGAACTACAATAATCTGGTAGCCTTTTGGTGAACCTCTTTCTGAGGTGTGAGCATGCTTTCATCTTCCTGTACAGAAATTGAGTTTTGCTGTAGTAATGGCACATAAAAATGAATACTCAGTGACACCAGATCAATTTGGCTTATGCTAATGGGTAGATGGTGATGCCATTTACTAAGACAAGGATCACTAGGAAGTAGAATTGTTGATGATGATGATCAGTCTGGGATATGTATTTTGAATTTCCTGGAGATCTACAATTATTTCAAAAGATAGATGAATATGCATGTATAGAACTCAGGAGATAAATCTGGGATGCACATAAAGATTTGGGAGTCATTAGCATATAAAGGGTATTTAAAACTAAGTGAGTGGACTAAAAGTCCCTTCTGACTTCAGCTTGTCTATTGTAATCTTTGCCTCATTTCCAGCATCAGATTGTCATTTGCTTGCACATATCACAAGCCATGAGTCTCTGGCGATGCTCATTCTCTGCTGGATCCTCATACTTCCCAATTGCTAATTCACTTTAGTCTTCAGATCGGATGTTACCTCCCACAGATTTTTGACTTCCTGTGTGCTCTTCTGATTTCCTGTGTTTACCTCCATAGTTATTCTTGCTATGTTGTGTTTTAATTATTTGTTTTTGTGCTTCTCTCAATTATATTGTGTTTCTTTAAGACAGGCACTGTCTTATAAATGCTGTATCTTTAATGCATGGCACCTAAGTGTGAAATAAATAATTTTTAAAAGAATAAGAACATTCGAATTTTACAAAAGAGGACAAAGAAATGGTTTTTGTGCCTCAATTTCCTGAGATGGCAAAACTGGTAAGTGGCATAAATGTTCAAGTCCTTTTCAAAGCCCAGAATAAAATGACCTTGATACGCCTATATG